ATTATAAATAATATAATATTATATATATTACATGTAACAGTTATTATATATTTTATACTATTATATATAATATTATATAATATATATAAAGCAGTAATTTAGGGTGAAGCATTAATATATATGACGCAAACCACTGCCATCATTATAATTACTTTAGGGGGGTAAAGCAGTAATTTCAGGCACTTTAGGGTGAAAAAATGAGAAAAAATCGCACAGCACGCGCGTGCAAACCACTGCCGTCATTTTTGACGGTTTAGGGGGTTTCGCGCATGCAAAAGTATATTACAAGGGGGTATGGCGCAATTTTTAAAATACAGGGGGAAAACGCGCAGATTTCGTATAATACAGGGGGGTTTGGCGCAATTTACCCAGATTTTGGCCCACAGGAATTTTAGGAAATCCATGGGCCATGGATCCATTAACTTTAAATAGCAGCATTAAATTATTCACACACTAATTTAGTGGGCCACTCTCATAGGCGAGGCCATCTGTATATAGCAGACTAAAAGTTCGCACAGATATCACCGTAGTTTTGAAAAAGCCTGGTGATAATGACAGACACCTGTGGATTGAGAATTCAGTGGGTTTCATTCTCTGATAAATGATTCTTTTAAAAAAAACAAGCCAAGAAGCACGCTCTTCAACGTAGAAAAGTATAAAAATATAATAATGCCATCTTGACATAATTTGATGAAATAATGTGGTATAGCAAATACGGCTGGAACGAGCTATTAACGTCTAAATCTTGGTTGTCTCATACTAGAGAGTCTCTGTTGAAAAGCTTTCTATGCCTAAGTTTGCACTATAAAAGATGAAGTGCTATAAGAAAAGTGTAGTAGAGAATGTAATATATTTCAAGGCATATATATCTCACTCCCTTATACAGGGAAACGATACCTTAGGGCCCAATTCGGGTGCGCGAGCTCCCCGATAGCCAGCATATGAGCTGCCTTGGTTGTCAGAGCTGTCAGGGCCATTCGGGTTGCCAGAGACGGTTATGAGTCGCGCACCACTCGGTGGTGCCACATGGTTTTACCCATGTGGGGGTTTAATTCTCCTAAGATTTTTTTTTTTTTATCTTTTAGTCCTCTCCATTAGACGGTCAAATCATGCCTTTAATCCCGATTACCTCAAGGTGAAGAATCCTCAATTGATGAGCCCTATTATCCTGCTCATCTGTTGGAATGTCACTTGTGAGTTGTCCCACATTGATTTGATAGGGTAAATAGGCCTAACTTATAAGCCTAGTGGGCTACTCCTCCTACTACCAATTGGTTTTGGGATGGAACCTCACTTGGGCTACATTTGGGCTAACCCTCTTATGGTGCGCTTCACCTGTGTGGGACCACACTCGTATTGCCCCCGTTTGACATCATCTGCTCGATCCACCAACCAGGTACTCTTTCGAGTTGAGTGTCTCCCAGATCACCCGGGCCTCTATTCGAGCTGTTGGTGTCCCTTCCTTCCTCGATACCTTCTTCGGCATGGGGATCTTTCGACCCATAATCTTCAGTCTCTGTACGACCTGATGGCCGATTTGGTTCGGTTTGATTGTCTCTCTGGTTTAGTCGACTTGGTGCAGTTATCCCATATCATAATGGATGATATAAATGATGTATATACATACGGGTAGAATTTGTTGATTTTAAAAATAATATTTAAAATGTGCAAATCAAATGATCTTGCAGACATGCGTCATTTTTAATTAAATCATTGCTTTTAATTAAATAATAAATATATTTATATAAATAATTACTTAACGAGTTCGCTAACATCACATTTTGTGGTCGGGCGGAGGAGTCCACCTTGCATGCACTTTGGGACTGTACAGGTGCAGCGCAGGTTTGGAATTCTCTATTGCCACTGCAGTTTCATGCCGATTTTTTTAGGTTGGAGCTTACGGATTGGTTGCTGCTCAATTTAAACAACAAGCTACTTGTTAATATCGAGGGGTGGGAGACCTTATTTGGCGTAACCACCTGGAAAATATGGCGCGGCCGTAATGAGGCTCTTTTCGCCGGTAGCGAGTTCGTCGCTCCACAAAAAGTTAAGGAGGTCGATCTGTGTGTAG